GGGCTTTGCCACTGGCTTCTCCCATCCCCCCCTTGCTGCCTCTGGCTATGTCTACACTATGGGTATGTCTACACTAGCCACCATAGTTCGAACGAGGGTGGCTAATGTAGGCATTCGAACTTGCAAATGAAGCCCGGGATTAAAATGTCCTGGGCTTTATTTGCATGTTCCCGGGCGCCGCCATTTTTAAAGCCCCTAATTCGGACTCCTGTTACTCAGCGGCGGATTTAGGTCAGGGCGAGCAGGGCGGCTGCCCCGGGCCCCACGCTTCCTGAGGCCCCACGCATGCGCTGTGTCAAAGAGGGAGCCCCGCGAAATTTCGCTGCCCGGGGCCCCGCGGCGCTGCCATGGACCCCGCGGCACTCTCATCCGCCCCTGCTGTTACTCCTCATTGCAGATCAAGAGAGCTATGGACGGGGCGGAGGTAGTTCAAGTTCTGTTTTCCTGCTTCTTAAAAAGCCATCCATGTCTCCGATTCGGTGCCTATCAGCTGAACTGGACTGCCGGGCTCCTACAGCCCTGAGACCTGCCAACCCTTCACTGATGATTTACTGGTGACTGACACAACCCTGAATGAGAAGCAGGGGGAGGAAAAGGAGAACACACCAGAGCATCATTTCCCAGAACACACTTGTCTGAATCAGGCTGGAACAATTAATGTTGGAGATCTCGGGGGACAGGACTGGCTTGCGGTGTGTGTGTGTGTGTGTGTGTGTGTGTGTTTAATGGAAGGAAGGAAAGGTTGTGCACAGCGGCAAGAAAGCTGAATGGAAATAGCCATCCCTGACAGTGGAAAAATACAGGGTTTCTGGGATTTCATGCGATTGATCTCATTGAAGTCTCTGAGGAAAACTGTCCCTGCCTTGCTGGGGGAAGGGAGAGGCTTCTAGCTAAGACACATATGTGCAGGGACTTGTTTTAACATCGTTTTTCTCTTACGTTAGCCCTCATTCCTGATGTGAAGATGAACGATTACTTTGGTTTAAGCAGGCTGGTCACTGAACTCCCACTGGACACAGACTCCTGAAGGGAGAAACCCAGTCAGACCTGCTGGGTAAAAACCGTGGTGGTACGTGACGCTGTCACTCAGAATCCAGACTAGGGTTGGGAGAATCATGAGATCCTGCCCCGAGAAAGAGAAAGACCTGACACCCGCAGGGTGCAGGGCCGGATTAAGGGGGGGGGGCTAGCTGGGCAGCTGCCCGGGGCGCCAGCCTATGGGGGGAGCCTGATGGCAGCTGTAAGGGGCGCCGCACGCCCGATTGCAGCTGTAAGGTGCGCAGTGCTCCGGGGGGCAGGGCCGTGCATGTGCCGTGTGCCCGGGGGTGGAGCCGTGCATGCGTTGTGCGCCCGCTGCCCAGGGTGCAGGAATGGCTCGAGCCGGCCCTGGCAGGGTGGGGTGGGCTGGGGTGGGGGTGGTGAAATCAGCAAGACCAGGCAGGGGAGAGAGGTGCACCTAGCTCCAGGCTCGTGAGGTTACCAAGCGGAATGTTCGTTTTGTGATTCTTCGCACAACAGGCTCTGAAGTTCACCAGCCAAAGAGTGAAATCCAAAGATCACCCTGGTTTTATTTTGGTCTTGTGCAATGCCCCCTAACTCCCAGAATCTGAACGTTACACTTCAGTGGCTGCAAAGAGCCCCAAAACTAGCATGATCTATTTCTGAACACTAGGGGGGAAAAAGCCATTCGGGTCCACTAGATCCATTTTCAGGATTTTAAATCTAGGCTGAAAATGGCTCTTCCCATCAACGCTGTACACAAAGGTAGCAATGGAGGACAATATCACTTACTCTTTGAAAAATTAAACCCCTGACAACGGTCCCTCTAATCTCTTCCATCCACGTGTGGATTTTTTCCATGCATGCACCGAATAACGTTTATGTGCACTGTGTGAAAGTGCACCACTAACACAAACACAAAACCTAGCTGTGGGTGCTCTGCTAGTCAGCTGGGCAGCATTTGAACCTCTCGTAGGTGGCCACCCAAGCGCACAGCTTACAGGGCATACTGGCCCCTGAACCCGCTCCGGAGTTCACACCCCCGCACCGGAGTTTGTTTTCCTGCCTTTGAGCCATGTTCTCCCATGTTTATTGATGGCAATTTACCACAGACTGTCTGCTGCTAACATTGCACCATTAAATTTTCATCACAAGTATCAAACGGCGCTCCATCTGCTCCAACGTACATTACCTCCGCCTTAGAAGCTGGCTGCTCAGAGTGAAGAACGCAGAACCCACCTATAGTTGCCAAACCTGCCAGGTGTTAAGCCCTTCCTGCAATGACCACACTAGCCTCTTTGATAGATTTTTCCTCCCAACACCCCGAGGAGGTACTATGATCCCATTTTGCAGGCAAGAACCTGACCGATTCTTAAAGAGGTTTAGGCACGCAAAGTTGCAAATAAGTGCTTCTGAAAATCCCACTGGGTATGGAGGTGCCTGACTCCCAAGCAATGATCCCTCTAATTTTTTTCCATTCATGTGCAGAATAAATGCTGTGATGTGCACCGAGGCACGGGCTATGTGCACCACCAGTGGAAACACATTATGCCAGTTGTGGACGTTGTGGGCACGCTGCTAACCAGCTGGCATTTGAATCTCTCCTGGGTGGCGGCCCAAGCACTCAGCTTCCCGGGGAACACTACTCCCAAGGGGATCACACCTCTTCACACCCCTGAGTGACATCAGTATGCCGGTAGCAGTCTGGACGGTGGAGACAGCCCCAGTTTTCATGCGAGCTAACAAGTTGAATTACAGGCCAGTTTTGAGGTTGTACCCTGAGTTAGCTAACTCAAATGAAGAACATGTCTTTTATCACCTGAATCTCTCTTGGTACCTCAGCTCCTCATCTGTAAATTGGGGATAACAACACTCCCTTTCCCCTTTGTCTATTTAGACTACAAGCAATTGTAGTTCTTATTATACGTCTGTACAGTGCCTAGCACAATGGGGCTCTGATCTTAATTAAAATTTAAAAATTCAGCATAGGAATAGCAACAACTCACCCCAATTTCCGGAGGTAGAAGGAATATTTGTTTTAATCAAGGCTGTAGGAGGCGTTTGTACTGCAACCTCAAGTGGCTCCGCAGGTGTCCCTCGGCACAAGACAACCTTCCTGCGTGCACTTGTAATAGACAATCCAGATAAACTCTCATCTGGGTGGAAATTCTAAACACAGGCCTTGCTCCAAATGAAGAATTGGCTTGGATCTAGGTATTTTTGTTGCTAGCTCCTTGCAAATGCACCAGACCCTGGGAGACAGTAGACTGAATGTCATGCTCCTTCATCAACCAACAGCTTTCATGTGTTTTCATTTTTAATTAAAGTATTCATGCTTTCATCAAATCAATTCCTTAACCAGGGATACTCAAGATCTTACAGACCCATCATTGCTGGGTTAATGGGGAGCATACAGTGGCTACTATCTTTGAAACCAGATGGATAAAATACCGATTCTTTGATTATTTAAAAAAAATGTTGGCAACACACTTCCCCATATTGCTGCTGTTTGAAAGCTACTTCAGTTATCATTTAAGCTACTCAACAGCGTTTTTATTAAGAACACAAGAACGGCCATACCGGATCAGGCCAAAGGTCCATCTAGCCCAGTGTCCTGTCTTCTGATAGTGGCCAATGTCAGATGCACCAGAGAGAGTGAACAGAAAAGGTAATCATCAAGTAATGCCTCTCCTGTCACCATTCCCAGTCTCTGAGGGTATGTCTACACTACCACCCTAGTTTGAACTAGGGTGGTAATGTAGGCAACCGGAGTTGCAAATGAAGCCT